CAAGTGACAAATGTCTTAAGAGGGAGTAAAGTCAAGATTGAGGGCATCCTCTGTGAATGGGGTGAAGGGAAGCCTTTCACTGTTAGAATCCCAGGGGCTTGAAGGTGTGGAATTCAGGGCAGGCAAGGCCAAGAGAAGGATATTCTTGTGGACAATGAAGAGTGACCTTCCTTCCTTATCTTTCTACCAAAATGAAATTTCAGGGATACCCAAAAAGGGAGGAAAAGTTGCTGTTTTTAAATAACCATTTTATAAGTGATATTTATACTTTAAAAGCATTTGTGTGACATATTTACTACAACATTAGCTCATAGGTGTAAATGTAGAGTTTTACTGTGTGACTATACAAAATGTGATTTACTCTTGCATCTCATAAGCCTCATGGTTTTAGAGAATACTGCTTTATTTAAAACTCTGATTAGAGGAGAGAAATTTTTCTTTCATAAAAGAGTCCTTGAAAATGATGAACAAAGGTGCATTTACATCTGTATTATAATGGGATAATTGGATAATGACTGAGAATTGCATTATCCCTGTTTCTGTTGGTAACAATTTTTATTTCTACCCCGGTTTTGTTGAAATGCACTGAACAAACTTTTCTTCATTACCTTGATATTTTTATTCACGTACTTTACATTTTTCAATGCACTTTCATTTATTTTATCTCATCAGGCCAATATAAATATGGTGTCAACATCTTGGTATTTTCATCTTTATAATATAGGAAAAAACTGATCATAGAGAAGATAGGCATTTGCTCAATCCTCAATGAGAGATTTGAGACTAGATTAAAGCCTTTAGTCTCCAAAGTCAGTTCCATCTAATTAAAGAACAAAGCATAAAGAATTAGCCTTTGATGACTTTTTCACCCCTTAAAATAAACAGTACTTTACAGGATCCCACACATTATCAAAATTGTAGTACAAATACAGGCACTTTTAATGAATATATTTGATGTAGGCTTAAGTCTACGGGTGACATTGTACTAAGGTATGGCAACAGCTTAAGTAGTTAAGGGCCCAACTATAACCCAAAAGGTTGGTGGTTTGAACCCACCCAGCTGTTTGCAGAGACAGTCTTGCACTTTGTTTCTGTGAAGTATTAATATTAAATCAAGTAAAGATTAAACCATAAAAGACCACTTCCATCAGAGGTGATTCTGATTCGTGGGAGAAGGAAATTGTAATGGGAGAAGGCCTGCCTTGTTTTTTCCATAGAACAGCTGGTAAATTGGAATCACCAATCTTTTGGTTAGCAGATCAATGTGCAACCCATTACCTCACCATCACAGGCAAGAACATCCTATGAGATTTTGTATCACATATATCTGTGTTGTTGTTATGTGCCATCGAGTCATTTGTGACTCATAGCGACCCTATGTACAAGAGCTCTAAAAGCCATTCTATCCTGTGCCAACCTCGCTGTCTCAAACACACTCATTCTCACCACTCCACTCACAGAATCGATCCATATCATTGAAGGTCTTCCTCTCCTTCACCGCCCCTCCACTCTGCCAAACATGATGTCCCTCTCCAAGGACCAGTCCCTCTTTGCAACATGCCCAAAGTATGTCAGATGAAGCTTCAGAATCCTTGACTCCAGGGAACATTCTGGCTTCACCTTCTCCAGAATGAACGTGTTTGATTGCCTAGCAGTCCATGGCATATTCAACACTCTTCTCCAGCACCACAGCTCAAAGGCATCAATTCTCTTTCTATCATCCCTAGACACTGTCCAACTCTCCAATGCATAGCACGTAATTGTAAAGACTATAGCCTGGATCAGGCACACCTTAGTCTCCAGCCTGATGTCGTTGCTCTTCAGTACTCTTGAGAGGTCCCTCACAGCTGACTTTCCCAAGGCAATTCATCTCCTGATTGATTTCCTGGCTGCTGTTACTTTCTGTGAGTCAAAATTTATTCCAAGGAAGTCAACAATAACAATAGGCATACACTTGGAAATAGATAGGCACATATGTTATGTATGCATAAAATTGTCATATGATAGATGATAAGAATTCTTGACTCAGTTTTCACAAATGTTGTAGAATTCAAAGAGCAGAGCATCAATTATGCTTCTTCCTTCTGGTGTAGGTCTATGAAAAACCTTAATGACCACAAATCAGCTCTAGCAACAGCATTTGAAGGAAGATCGTTAGTTTTATAAGACAGGCACTAGGGTAATTATTTTAGCATTGACTTTGGAAAGGTAAGGCTAGTAGACTCAGTAAGTGTTAAGAAAATGTCACACAAGTATGACTCATTAAAAAAAATGTGTGAAAATTGGGTCGACAGGTTTGCTGGAAGTCCAAGATTCACAGGAAAACTCCACTCCTTGAAATTTTAAATGAGGAATTAAACTTTGTAAAAATAGTTTCTCAAAATTAACTATTTCTTCAGTTCTTTAAGATTGTGTCTGATTAAAAAAATAGATTGTGTCTAATTATATACACACACAATATACATTTATATGTATAAACATATTGTACATATATAATCAGCTTTATACACATTTATATCCATATGCAGTTAATTAAAGGTACTAAGTGTCATAAAAACATTCATTTATTTACCCTTTTTGTTAGGTGTCATTGAGTCCAGTATGACTCATAGTGACCCATGAACAAAAGATCGAAACCCTGTTTTATCCTGTGCCATCCTCACATTTCCTGACACACAAAAGCTCTTTGTGGCAGTCACCATATCAATCCACCTTGTCTTAACAACATGCCCAAAGTATGTGAAATGATGCCTTATCATTCTCGTCTGCAAAGAGCACTCTAGCTATACCCTCTCCAAGACATATCTCTTTGCCATCCACGGGATGTTCAGTGCTCTTCTCCTGCACCACAGCTCAAAGGCATTAATTCTTTTTCTGTCATCTTTATTCACTGTCCAGCTCTCAAATGCATAGCAAGTGATGAGAAAGACTATGGCCGGAATCAGAAGCGCCTTAGTCCTCAAACTGGCATCATTACTTCTCAGAAATTTGGAGAATCCCTAACAGCAGACTTTCCCAGTGCAATGTACCTCCTTATTTCCTGACTGCTGGTACCAAGGGTGTTAATTGTGGATCCAAGTAAGATAAAGCTATTGACAGTTTCCATCCCCTCTCTACTCATGATCTTGCCTATCAATCCAGTGGTAAGAATCTTTGTTTTCTCTACATTGAGATGCAAACCATACCAAAGGCTGCATTCCTCAATCTTCAGAAGCAAGTGCTTCAAACATTATTAATTAATGCTTATATATTGCCGAAAGAATAAGCAGATATATTTTGGAGAAAGTACAGCCTGACATGTGAAGCTTCATCTCACATACTTTGGGCAAGTTGCTAGAAGAAATTAAGAGAGGAACATCGTAGGGACCTCTGGTGGCCTAGTGTCAAGAAGCTGCACTGCAATCCCAGAGGTACGTGGTTTAAATCCACTAGGTGTTCTGCTGGAGAAGGAGGGGTACTTTCCTCCTTTACTGGTCAGATGCAATTTGATGGTACACACAAACACAAAATAATAAAACAAAGTAAAAAAAATTTAAAAAGAAACAGTATGCTTGGAAAATGGAGGGGTGAGAGAGAGGGGAAGACTTTCAACTAGGTGAATTGACATAGTGGCAGCAGCAATGAGTGTGTCAGAGATTGTGAGGATGGCGCAGGATAAGACAGTATTCAGACTGCTTGTTCATAGGGTTGCTATGAGTTATACTCAACTCAATGGCACCTCACGACATAAAAAACAACAAACAGGCTAAGAACCTATGCTAGATAATAAACGCATTTGGAACTTGATATCATTACAAGGAGAGTTGTGTTGTTATTTCTAGGGTATAGATGAGAAATTTGGTCCAAGGGTTAAATGGCTTACATTCAAACCAGTAGTAAAATGCAAATGAAATTGAACCTAAAAAGCCAAGGTTCAGAGCTTGTAGGGAGCTATACAATTTTGTCCTCAGTCAATGATAAGAAGGAAATGACTTGGACGTTTTAAAATTGTTGTTGTTGCTAGGTGACATTGAGTTGAGCATGACCCACAGCTACTCTATGAACAACATATCTGAACCCTGTCCTCTGCTGTGCCATCTTCACATGTCCTGATATACTGGAGCCCATTGCAGCGGTCGCTGTGTCAATCCACCTGGTCAAGGGTCTCCCTCTTCTTGGCTGATCCTCTGTCTTTCCAGGCACCATATCCTAGGGACCCGTCCAAAATAGGTGAGGCAAAGCTCTAGCACCTTGGCCTCCAAAGAGTACTCTGGCTTCCTTTTCTACAGGATATATTGTTTTGTTCTTTTGGCAAACCAGGAGATGTTCAGACCTCTTCTCCAACACCTAGCTCGAAGGCCTCAATTCTTCTTCTGTCATACTTATTCATTGTCCATTTCATTTAGTCTTAAAATTAGAGTCCACTTTCCCCCTGCATCTGAGGGGAAAAAATATTTGATATATTTTTTGCTTTGGAATAACTTGTGTTTAAATCCAGCTTCATCTTTTGGTGTGTAAGTAGTTTCATATTCTTCCCGTGCTGTTTCAACAGCTGCAAATGAAGATAAGGACACATTAATTATGTAGTTGTGATAATTAAATGGTTATTAATTCATTCACATTATTTGCTTTTCTGTTGTGGTTTTCCCCCTTATAAACATTTTATGATAGTTATATTTTATATCATTCCACTAACAAGTCAGTGTAACACAGTTAATTTTAATTTGAATTAAAAAACCAGACAATTTTTCTACCTTTAAATAAATGAATATGGTTTTCAAAACAATTCCATGATATCTGGTGAATTCTGTCTAATTCAAATGAAGCACATTTTGAAAACCAAATGCATACAATGTACATGAGTTATCACTACAGGAAATAAGGTGATTGCTTGTCACAATTAAGGTATGGATTGATTTTAAATTATCGTTTGAAGGGTGGGGCAGAGAGGAAGGGGTGAGGGGCTGAGCTGCTGCAGGCAGGGCTGCTTCTCTCTCTGTCCCTCTGCCTCCCCCCCAGCCATGGGGACCTCCAACTTGTGGACAGACTACCTGGGCTTGGCAAGCCTGGTGGGGGCTCTGGGTGAGGAAGGGGAGGAGCCCAAGACCAGGCTGCACCCCCAGCCAGAGCCGGTGCCAGATCCAGTGCCAGATCCAGTGGATCCGAGACCCAGCCCGGAACCCTCGCTGACTCCTGAATGCCTGTGTTCCTTCTGCAAACACAACGGCGAGTCCCGGGCCATCTATCAGTCCCACATGCTCAAGGACGAGGCCGTCCGCGTGCTGTGCCCCATCCTGCGAGATTATGTGTGCCCGCAGTGTGGTGCCACCCGGGAGCGTGCCCACACCCGCCGCTTTTGCCCGCTCACTAGCCAGGGCTACACCTCTGTCTACAGCTACACCACCCACAACTCTGCTGGCAAGAAGCTCACCCGGCCGGACAAGCCGAAGACGCAGGACGCAGGTCATCGCCGAGGAGGTGGCTCAGGTTCCAAAGGTGCCAGGAAGTCTTCAGGACCCTCGCCTTCGTCCTACAGTTCCTCCACTTCTGCCTAGGAGACCGGCACAAGGAGGACCCCGGAGCCCTGCTTTCATCAGGGGATGGGGGACCCAGGCTGGATTGGAGGGAAGGTCTGGGTTGAGGCCACAGGAGCTGTTGGGGAGCAAAGTCTGACAGTGTAGTTGAAACAGCTCCTGTGGGGAAGGGGAAGGGTCATCAGTACCTTCCTACCCACCCACCCAACTGCCAGCCCCGGCTTGTTCTGTTCACACACGTGGAGTTTGTGTTCAATAAATGCCTTATCAACAGAAAAAAAATTATCATTTGAATAATCCAGCGCAGAAACAAATCCCAGTGTATACTTATTTGTCTATACCCTGGTGGCATAACAGGTTATCTGTTGGACTCCGAACTGAAAGATGGGCAGGTTAAACCTATCAGCAAATCCAGAAAGAAGAGAGAATAGGCGGCTCCTCTTTAGCTCACGACTTCAGAACGTTAATGGAGAATCATCATGAATTGAAATAAACTCCCAGCAGTGACGTCAGTCTAGAGCCTAACATTCACCTCATCCAGTCCATGCTCTTTGCAATTACTTGCTCTGCATCGGAAAGCTGGACAGTGACTAAGGATGACAGAAGAAGAAGCGATGCCTTCAAATGTGGTGCTGGAGAAGAGTCTTGAATATATCATGGACCACCAAGAAAACAAAAAGGTCTGTTTTGGAGAGGGTGAAACTAAGTTTCTTTCTTGGAGGCTAGGATTTTGAAGTTCTGTCTCACATACTTTGGGCATTTGGCCAGGGGAGACTTGTCCTTAGAGAAGGCATCATGCTTGGAAGGACGGAGGGACAGTGCAGGAGAGGAAGACCTCAGATGAGATTGGTGATATAGTAATTGGAGCAATGGAGGGTCAGTGAGTCAAAATTAGGGAGACTGGCTCAGGACAGGGCAGGGTTCAGAGCTGCTGTATACAGGGTCACAATAGGTCACTGACAACTCAATGGCACATAACAACAACATGGCAGTGGTTTGGTTTTAAAGGATTTACATAACGAGCCATGGTGGTGCAGTGAGTCAAGTCTTGGGATGCCAGTTAGCAACTCCCTAACTGCTCTACTGGATAAAGATGTGTCAGGCTGCTCCAGTAAAAAGGAGCTCTGTAGAGCCGTTTTTTTTTTTTCTGTCCTCCAGGGATTTAAAGGGGTGGAATCAGCTTGAAGGCATTGCCCTATTTAGTTTTTAAATATTTACTTAAAATGAAGATTTGTAGTTTTGATTATATTTTCTAAAAACATGAGTATACAATTAAGAACAAAGGAGATTCTTTGAGAAGTAATTGTTAGTTTTTCTAAGATTCAGTATTCTTAAAAGTAAAAATGTTGGTGGAAATTATTGTCACTAGTATCACATGAAGCAAAATCCTGCTGAAGATCAACCAAAATCTGCTGGAGAGAACTACCAGAAATACAAGTTGGGTTTAGAAGAAGCCATTGCACTAAGGATATCATTGCCAATATCAATGGTTCTTATTTGAAAGCAGAGAGTATCATGGAAAAGTTTATCTGTGTTTCATTGACTATGCAAAGACATTTGACTGTGTGGATCCCAACAAATTCTGGCTAACCTTGAGAAAAATGGGAATCCAGAATACCTGATTGTGTTCATCTGAAACCTACACATGGACCAGGAGACAGTCGTCTCAACAGAGTAAGGAAATGCTGGTTCAAAATCACGAAAGGAGTGCATCTAAGATGTGTCCTGTCTCCATATCTTTTTAATCTGTATTCAGAACAGGTAATTCTCATTTATGAGAAAGAATGGGGCATCAGGATTGGAAGAAGGCTCATCAACAACCTGTATTATGAAAATGACACAACCTTTCATGATGTTACAGCTTGTTAAGATTTTTTGTGGCATAGTCATTTTATGTTAGGTTAATAACAAAAAGAAAAATGATTTGAATCCATCAACTACTGCTTTGTGAGAGAGAAATGAGATGGTCTGTTGTCAGGATTTACAGCCTCAGACACCTGCTAGAGGATCATCATGCTTTGGAATTGACTTAAAGGTGCTGAATTGTTGTGTTCTGGTGTTCTGGTGTTTGGTTTTGATTTTGTTTTTGTTTTTTGAGTGATTTTTCTAATTGCCACGTGTTTTTTTGCTTGGAATATCTAATTCTGCAAAAATTAGGCAAATTCTTATTTTTGTTCTCTTGACATGTTTCAAAATGAAAACAGAGCTGCTCCTCCAGTCTGTCGTAAAACACTAGTGAAAATAAATTCTGTTCATTTTTTTCTGTTAAATTTTTGATGTAAGTACATGATAACAAGAGCACTGCTGTTTCAGAAATATTACAATGATTAGTTGAACAAACACAAATTGTGAAAGCCCTAAAGCAACTGTATTTTCATTTTAACATAGTTCATGTTTAAGGTCAACTTAAGATTTCTTCTTTGCTGCTGTTTAATGCTTATAAGTCAAGTACAACTCATAGCTACCCTATGAAAACAGACCAGATTCCTGTCCTGTCCTAAACCATTCTCATTGTCTCTGCATATGTGAGTTTATTGCTGCAGTCACTGGGTCTACTCATCTTGTTGAGGGTTTTACTCTCCTTTGCTGACTCTCTATCTTACCAAGTATGATGTTCCTTTCCAGTGGATACCTTCTGCTAGCAACATGTCCAGAGTTTGAGCGAGGAAGCTTCACCCTGCTTTGTTCTAAGCACTTTGGCTGCACTTTCTTCAAAATCTATCTATTTGTTCTTTTGGTAGACCATGGGATATATAGCACCGTTCTCTAACATCACAGCTCAAAGGCATCAGTTCTTCTTCTATCATCCTTTTTACATTGTCCAACTGTCAGATGTGTAACAAGTAGTAGAAAAGACTATGGCCTGAATCAGGCTTACATTCGTCTTTAGATTGACATCATTGTTCTTCAGTATTTTGGAGAAATTCCTGACAGCAGACTTGCCAGTATAAGACCTTCTGATCTTCTGACTGCTGGTATCAAGGATATTGATTGTTGACCCAAGTAATATAAAGTCATTGACAACTTCACCTTTCTCCATATATCATGATGCTGCCTATTGGCTCAGTGGTGATGTATTTTGCCTTTTTGATATTGAGATGTAATACTTCATCTTCTGCAGCATGATTTCAAGTCTTCCTCACTTTCAGCAAGCAAGATTGTGTCATCTGCATAATGCATGTTGTTGATGAGTCTTCTTCTGCTCCTGATGCCACATCCCTGTTGATAGAGTCTACCGTCATGAACTATTTGTTCAGTATACAGACTGGATGGGTATGGAGAAAGGATATATCCTTGGTGCAAACACTTCCTGATTTTAATCCATGCAGTGCTCCCATGCTCTGTTTGGACGACAGTCTCTTTGTCTAGATATAGATTTTGTGTGAGCATGTTTAAGTGTTCTGGGATTCCCATTCTTTACAATGTTGCCCATTATGGTCTACATAGTCAAATACCTTTGCATAGCTAATGGAACACAGATAGACATTCTTCTGATGTTCTCTGCTTTCAGTCAAGATCCATCTGACATCAGCAATGATATCTCTGTTGTCATGGCCTTTTCTAAACCTTGCTTGAACTTCTGGCGGTTACTTGTCAATGCACTGTTCTAGGATGATCTTCATCAATATTTTGCTTGCACTTGATCTTCATACTATTATTGGATAACCTTTCTTGGGTATTGGAACATATGTGGAACCCAGAAGAGATGGAGTGATACAGTACCTAGGGGACAGGAGTGTCGGAGTCAGTGAGACTGGCTCAGGACTAGGCCATCTTCAGACCTGTTGCACATAGAGTCGTTATTGGTCACAGGTGACTCAACAGCACATGACAACAATAACAACAATAACTGAGTGTCAAAATTATCAAATAATATCATTATTATCACATGCAAGCAAAATACTGCTGAAGATTACCCAAAAGTGACTAGAACAGCACATAGACTGAGAACTGCTGGAAATACAAGCTGGGCTTAGAAGAGGTTGTGAAATATCACTAGGGATATCATTGTTGATGTCACATGGATTTTGGCTGAAAGTAGAGATTCCCAGAAGAATGCAAATTTGCTTATTTCTATACTATTAAAAGACATTTGACAGTGGGTATCACAACAAATTGTGGCCAACACTAAGAAGATTGGAGATCCCAGAATACTGGGTTGTGTTCATACGAAACTTTTTCCTAGACGAAGAAGCTGCTGTCTGAATGGAGCAAGGTTCAAGATCCAGAAAGAAGTGAATCAGGGATGTATCCTTTCTCCATTCATTTTCAATCCATATGCTTCACAGATCATTTGGAAGGCTGTACTTTATGAAGAAAAATATAGCACGAGATTGATGGAAGACTCATCAACAAGCTGAATTATGCAGATGACAAAATCTTGCTTGCCAAATCTGAAGAGAACTTGAAGCATTTGCTGCAGAAGGACAAAGACTGCAGCCTTGGTTATATATTACATTTTAACATCAAGAAAACAAAGATCTTCACCACTATATCAATAGGTATTATAATGAAAAATAGAGAAAATATTGATGTTGTTAACAATTTCATCTTGCTCAGATCCACAATCAGCACTCTTGGCATCAGCAGTCAAGAAAATTAAAGTTGTTTGGGGGAATGTCTGCTGTCAAAGACTTCTCCCGAGTGCTAAAAAGCAATAATGTCAGTCCAGAAATCAGATGTGCATAATCCAGGCCATGATCTTCTCAATTGCTTGCTATGCATCTGAGAACTTGACAGTGACTAACAATGACAAAAGAATAATCTATGTCTTTGAATTGTGGTGCTGGAGAAGAGTGCTAAACATACCTTGGACTGTCAAGAGAACAAACAAGTCTGTCCTACAGAGGATGAAATCAGTTGATTCCTTGAAGGCAAGGATTTTGAAGCTCTGTCTCACATCCTTAGGGCATGTTGCCAGGAGGGATCATTCCTTAGAGAAGGACATCATGTTTGGAAGGATAGAAAGTCAGAACAGAAGACGGGCTGACACAGAGACTGTGGCAATGGGGTCTTGTCTG